AAAATTTTACAACCTTTTATCTAACAAGTGGATCGCTTTCTAGGAGTCGGGATTTGTTGTATTATTAGCTCTAAAAATTGATATGATTGATTAAGACAATTTAGCCCTTGTTTGAGCTCCATTTTATCAAAAAATTCATTTTTTTTAAAACCCATTTTTAACCACACAATCTCCAATAAAATAATATTACATGTAAATAGAAAAAAAAATTCGTTTTTAACCATACATTTTTCAAAAATCACTATTCAAAAATGCATTTTTTTTCTTTCAAAATGGGGCTAAAACAAGACATTAATTAACCCAAATAAACTGAAAGCCTTGGAGCATTGTTCAACCTTTGTAGAATAAATTAAGAAAAAATTTAGCCCAAACCCTACATATAATATGAGACCAATTAATTTGATAATTTGTAACAATGAAATAACAAATTACAGTGAACTCGTTACATGTCACAAACATTCACAATGAAAACAGACATGATAAAATACAATTACAAATAACACAAACTTGATCACAGAGAATCATGGTTAACACATAAAATGTCACAAATAGTCATAATTAACAGAAAATTGGTCATACTAAAGTAATTGTTCACGAAACCCTAATTTCAAGTAGGGCTTTGCAATTTCATAAATTACACTAAAGGTCCCCACCCCCAAGTCATCACCAAACCCTAATTTCTTTCCATTTTTTTCTACATTGTCGGAGGGTAAACCCTAAGTTCTCCCACAACAATAGGCCACAATCACAATAATCGTATTACACGTCACAAACATTCGAAAGTAGACCTGATAAAAAAATGATCACAAATAACACAAATTTGATCACAGAGAGTCACTAATTAATATATAAAAGGCAAAATAATAGTCATAATTATTAGAAAATTGGTCACACTAAGGTCATTGTTCACAAAACCCTAATTTCAAGGAGAGGCTTACAATTTCATAAATTGCACTAGAGGCCTCCACCTCCAAGTCATCACCAAACTCTAATTTCCGCCCTTTTCCTCTACATCACCGTCGAGCAAACCTTAATTTTTCCCCATTTTCCTCTGTGATGGCGGAGGGTGGTCATAGGTGCGTAGAGCCACTGCGCATGACGCTACTTTGTGTGATGGTGTTGCTTCGCGAAGTGCCGCTGAGGAGTCGACGTGGCTGCCAACGATAAAGGTAGTTGTCGATGAGATGGAGAGGCAATGGTGAGATTTGACGGTCATGAA